CCGCCCAAATCAACCAAATGGCCAAAAACTTAAAATATCTAAAGGCGCAGTACTTTGTCGGAGCCAACAAGCCAGGGAAATTCCTAGCAAGAAAGCTAACAAAGAGAAGGCAACAAAAATATATAACCCAGATAATAGAAAAAGGAAAAAACTACACAAAAGAGAAGGATATCGCCATGCAATTTAGAGAATTTTACCAAACACTATACAAGAAGGATACAATGGCGAAAGAAGATATAGCGGTATTTGTTTCAAACCAAAAAATTCCAAGAATATCAGAAGCAGAAAGAGAATACCTAAATACACCAATAGAAGAAGAGGAAGTCAAACGAGCCATAAACAGACTAGCAATAAATAAAGCCCCTGGGCCAGATGGCCTTACTGCCCAATATTATAAGATATTCAAAGAAGAAATAGCTTCCCATCTGAAAGAAACAATGAATAATATAATGAGAGGCAATGAAATGCCAAAGACTTGGCACGAAGCACACATCACCTTGATCCATAAGGAGGGCACAGAACCCTCAGAGCTAAAGAACTACCGGCCTATCTCCCTCCTTAATTGTGATTATAAAATCTTCACAAGCATATTGGCGGAAAGGTTTAAAAGACTCTTAAAGGAAAGGATAAAGGAAGACCAGAGAGGGTTTCTGCCAGGTAGACAAATGAGGGACAACGTGAGGACAATTTTAGACATTGTGGAATATTACGAGAAAAATACACAGAAAGAACTTGGACTGCTTTTTCTCGATGCCGAGAAGGCATTCGACCAAACAAATTGGGACTTTCTAACATTTACCCTCAAAGAAATGGACATTGGACACTCCATATTAAATGCCATAAGAGCCATATACACCGGGCAATCGGCAAGAATAATAGTAAACGGGATACATACAGAGAAAATTAAAATACAGAGAGGGGTGAGGCAAGGTTGTCCCTTATCCCCCTTACTGTTCATATTAATACTAGAAATACTATTGGAAGATTTAAGAGCAGACAGAGACTTAAGAGGCTTAAGAATAAGATCTGAGGAGTACAAGGTATTAGCATTCGCAGATGACCTTGTTTGCATAATGGAGAGCCCAGCCCAAAATATTCAAAAATGGATAAACAAAATAGAAGACTTCGGACGATTTGCAGGCCTCAAAATAAACAGGGAAAAAACAAAAATGTTAACCAAAAATGTTAAAATAGAAGGGAAGGACAAAATCCATAAAGACTCTGGGATAGAGGTAGTTAAAAAGGTCAAGTATTTAGGCATCATAATCTCCACCTCAAACAGACATCTTTTCAAAGATAACTACGAAAAGATATGGGATACTCTACAAAAAAAGCTTAAAAACTGGAAGTACCTAAACCTCTCAATTCTAGGTAAAATCTCAGTTATTAAAATGAATATCCTACCCAAAATGACTTTTTTATTTCAAATGATTCCTATTATAAAGACAGGAGCGTGCTTTAAGAAATGGAACAAGGATATCATGAATTTTATATGGGATGGGAAAAAACCTAGGATTAAGTTCAAAAATCTTATAGACGCCAAAAACAGGGGAGGACTGGCTTTACCGGACATACAATTATATTACGAGGCAAGTGCCCTATCCTGGGTAAAAACATGGGCGACCCTTGAACAAAAGAAAATACTAACCCTAGAGGGACATGACATCAGAAGGGGGTGGCATGCCTATCTATGGCACGGGAAAGCTGGAATAGAAAGAAACTTCACCAATCATTACATAAGGTCATCCCTACTAAAAATCTGGAATAAATATAAAAATTTCTTTTATAAAAAAACACCTATGTGGTTATCCCCAGTAGAGGCATATCATAAAAGAGAAATCCCTAGGAACAGATGGCTTAATTATAAACAAATACTTGTAAAGACCAATAACGAATGGAAATTGAAGCCCATAGAAGAACTCAAAGAGGAAGATAAAGAAATAGGCTGGTTCCAATATCAACAAATAAAAGCATGCTTTAAAGAAGACCAGAAAATGGGATTCAATGAAAAAGACACTAGCTGGGATATTATAATGAAAAAAGAAAGAAAACTGATTAAAATATTGTACCAAACTTTATTAGAGTGGAGCACCGAGAAAGAACTTATTAAAGACAATATGATCAAGTGGGCCAGAGATATAGGCCACTCAATAATGCTAAAAGAATGGGAGCAAGTCTGGAAAGTCAAGCTAAAATATACAAGAGCTAGTAGCACTACAGAAAACTGGTACAAAATCTTTTATCGATGGCACCTAACACCTGTGCAACTCGCCAAATTCAATAAGAATTGCAATGGAACTTGCTGGAAGTGTAGAAAAGAGGCCGGAACATACTACCATTTATTTTGGCAATGCAAGAAAATAAAAAAATTTTGGCTGCAAGTTCACAAACATACACAAAACATAATTAAGGTAAAATTCCATATGAAACCGGAATACTACTTACTGAATATAATAGATCTAGACCTCAAAAGAAATGAAGAACAAATTTTCTTCTACCTTTCCACGGCGGCGAGAATATTAATTGCGCAAAAATGGAAAGATAAAGAAACCCCAACAAAGGAGGAATGGATTAAAAAAATAATGGAATTTAGAGATCTGGACAAGCTCTCATACATGTTAGAGGAGCAGAAGAAAATAAAACAGATAAACTGGAAATCTCTAGGAGATTATTTTAGAGAAAAAATTAAGTTAGATATTTAAAGTGCTATGATCCAACTAATAAGGACAGATATAACCAACAAAAGAAGAACTACATAATCAGATGAACATCTCTCTGCGGACTGAACGGAAGACCAATTCACCGCCCCCACCTCCTCCCCATGCCTTGTTCCCTGATCTTTTCCTGGCCCCCTCACCAATCCCCTACCCTTTCCTACCCCCCCAATCCCCCTCACCTCACTCACACCCCCCTTCTCTACTATACGACATACCTACCTATCCTTTCCAATCTTTCTATCTGACTGATTGTTCCCCCTCTTTCATTGTAAAAGGAAAATTAATAAATAACTAATAATAATAAAAAAAGAAAACCTCTCATGGACAAGGTGGAGATGGATTGAGATCTCAAATGCTTGTGTGATAAAATGTGAACAATCATCTGGCAATGGCAAAAAGCCATTGCAGTTTTCAGATAGCACCATAATTGATAACAACAGACTTTCAGTATTGGGTTGCAATAGCATGCCTGCAGTAAACAATGCAGTAAAGCTTGTCTTGGGAAAGAATGAGAATTGATAACACACTTTCCTGTTTAATTGTGTGATGCTTACTTTTGAAGTAGCTGTTATGCCCCAGAAACTTTGTTTTTGTGGCTGCCACAAACGATGTTGAATTGGCTGAGACTTTGCGAGATATTCATTAAAAACTGTAGCAAAATGTGCTGCAGTTTAATAAACTTTTTTCATGTTTGTATGATAGAACCAGTTAGAAAATGACATTTATAACCCAGGAACAAAAATCGTGTTAAATAGTGTAATCCTACTGTAGCTGTGTTTGCTTACATATACAGTAGAGTCTCACTTATCTAACCTTCGCTCATCCAACATTCTGTATTATCCAACACAGTCTGCCCCTTGCTCAGATCCACAGCTGTTTCAATACATTGAGATGTTTGGGTGCTAAATTCATAAATACAGTAATTACTACATAATGTTACCGTGTATTGAACTGCTTTTTCTGTCGATTTGTTGTAAAACATGTTTTGGTGCTTAATTTGTAAAATCATAATGTAATTTGACGTTTAACAGGGTTTTCCTTAATATCCTTATTATCCAACAATTTCACTGATCCAACGTTCTGCCGGCCCATTTATGTTGGATAAGAGAGAGTCTACTGTAGTTGTCAATGCAAACAGCTGCCTGTAGGATCACTTACTGGGCATGAGTGAAGAGCGAAACAATAAAAAAGAGAAAGTAGTTCAGCCTGCTTGACATATTGAAAAATTACAAAAATTGATATTGTTACAAAAGCAGAGGCTGTTGAAACAAAAAAATCATCTTGGCGATGCATTTTGGAGCAAGTTTTCAAACAATCTCAATAAGATTCAATGCAATGTGTTTATTTATGAAAGGTATATCTGATCTGAGTTTTTAATTTCAGATATGTATTATGTTAGTTTTGAATAAAATGTTTTGTTGAAAAACATTGAACTGTTCCTTTTGTGTGTGATGTGTGATGTAGGAACCTGTCCTTATTCTTTCCATGTTGCAGTTTCTCAAGTTGCTCCTGACACACACACACAGATCTGCCATGGTTCCATCTTGTGGATTCCTAGGATTGGCAGTTATTTATTTATTTCGGACATTTATATCCCATCCTATCTTGACCTCCGCGGAGGGGCTCAGGGTGGCTGAGGCTGGGGTACTTAGAATAGTCCGCCAGAATGTTCCAATGTCTCACCGAACTATAAATCCCAGGATTCCATTGTATGGAACCATTGCTGTTAAAGTGGAATAATAGTGCCTTAATTACATAATGTGAATGCACTCCTGGATTCTACTCACCCACAGGCTAAATAGATAACGACACTCGTGTTTACATACACGTGTATGTATGTAGCACATTAAAGTTAATGAAATTAAATATGTCCTCTGAAATGTATGAAGCACCATTTACATGTGTTGTTTAATCATCATGAGGGAAGCTGGCAATTCCTGACACTCATCAAGCTAGTCCATATAACTCTAAAGCCAATCCATTAATTATTCAGCATAACAAAATAGAAGGGCAGTACTATGGATTGATATTATTGCCAGACAATGATGGATGTCAAGAGTAAAAATAAAGTTGTGCAAGAGAATGGGAAAGAGAAGTACGTACCTCTTTGCAATAAACATATAATTCGCAGTTAATTACTTTTTCATGGTTGTGATATTGTTTATTTTTCTGTAAAGTGTTTGTATTTTGTCTCTAGAATGCTAATACATTTGAAGGTGTTTTTATAATGCAAGCTTGATATTAGATTCTAACCTTAAACGCCTTCTGTTCTACTCTCTACAGGCTATGAGGTGTGCGGCCTAGAAAAAATACCTAATGGGCCAGCACTGGTCGTTTTCTACCATGGAGCAACTCCTATAGACTTTTTCTATTTCATGGCTGTTGTCCTGATTAAGAAAAAAAGAATCTTACATATAGTTGCAGATCACTTTGTCTTTTCACTACCAGGTACATATTGTCAAGCTTGATTGTGGTGTTTCTTGGTCAGATGGGAGAACAGGCTTGGAAATGTCACAACTTGTGTATTTGGGATTTATTTTATGCACATTGATATATACTATATGTACTCATGTAGAGGTCTAGAAATTTTAATTAAAAATTAACCCCAAAACCCTAGGCCAACTTATTCATAAGTCAGTGTGAGTACTATACCTTATCAAAAAAAGAACCATGCCCTTTTCTGACTAGCCCCTGTGTTGGCAGACTTCTTAGTTCCTTTTTTTCACCATTGCAGCTCTATCACCACAGTGTTTTTGCTTCAAGTTCTCCTTCAATGAAATAACTTTGCCCACCAACTTCTCAACTACACTCTCTCAATCTCCCTCAGTGTTGATGACTCGATTAGACGTTGCACACAAGTGCAACCACAAGATTCCGATGGGACACTTGGAAGTACCTTCTTTGACTTTCCCATTGAGTTTGACAACTTCCCCACCGTTGGCATTGGTACCAACATTGCCAATCTCATCAGCTTTTTCAATACACATCACCCTCAAGCGCTCTCTCAAGGAGGCCAGCAGAGCACAATCCAAAAAAGACCAATCAAAGAAGCCCTTTTCTTCTAATCACAAAATTCATATATGTTGCCTAAATACTAGACAACACATATGAGGCATGTTAATTGTATGGAATGCCTCAACACATATGAGGCATGTTAATTGTATGGAAATCCAGCATTTTGAGGGCTAAGTATTCTAGAAAAATGCCTAAATTTGAAAAAGCTTGTCTTCTTTTCTGTTGTGCTGATAGAATGTGTTATTTTACTTGACCAAGACATGTGAGCTCTGAAACACAATGCTTTGGCCTGCATAAATGCATTTGACAATTGAAATTTGTCAGTTTAGTTACCAGGAATAGTCCCTTAATAGAGGAAAAGTGAATTGGTCATTTAAAAAAAAATAGAACCACCCTAAACTAAACACAGTAGAGGTGCAGACATGCAAAACTACCTTATTCTATTACATTTTTGATACTCCATAGTTCCATTTTTTGTATTACTGATATAGATTTTCTTTACCATTTTCAGGTTTTAAACTCTTACTTGATGTGTTCAGTGTCCTGCATGGAACGCAGGAAGAATGTGGGAAAGCATTATCAAAAGGACACTTGTTGGCCATTGCACCAGGGGGAGTTCGAGAAGCACTGTTCAGTAATGAAAACTACGTCCTTATATGGGGGAATCGTAAAGGATTTGCTCAGGTGGCTATTGATGCAAAAGTGGTGAGTGTTCATTGAACTTTAAATGGAATGTAAGACTAGACGCTTGTAAGAAAAAGAATTGTTGGGGTCTTTTCGGATTTGAGACAAAAGAGCACATTTTTCCTCAGGACTGTGTTTGCTCTTATTCTCTCTCCAGGGCACTGGAAGGAGCAAAGTCAGATGAATGTAAATTAAAATTAATTGTATGCGCTAATGCTGCTGTTCTTTGAATATAGTGGCAGTCAAAAACATCAGTTTGTACATTGTTCTCCCTTCTTCCATTTTACTATTTAAGTTTGCATCTGAATGGATCTGACTGACATGCGTATCTTTGCTGTTTTCTGTCATTTTTGTTGATTTTGTTCACACACACAATCTGGGAATCCCAAGCTGACTTTTAGTCATCAGGGTGATAATTGCCTAGCATTATGCTAATGTCATGGACAAATACAAACTTATTAGTGTCCCCAACATCATTGTAGTTTCCGTTAGAGTGTATGGTTGTGAATACTTTCTGTAAATATGTTTTATACTTATTTATGGAATGCTTTTGACACAATATAAATAAATACTTTCTATGAGAAAGATTTTAGCCTGCCTGTCCTGTCCTGCCAGTTTTGTACCTGGAGTGCTAGGAGCCCCCAGTGGCGCAGTGGGTTAAAGCACTGTGCCGGCAGGACTGAAGACCGACAGGTCGCAGGTTCAAATCCGGGGAGAGGCGGATGAGCTCCCTCTATTAGCTCCAGCTCCTCACGCGGGGACATGAGAGAAGCCTCCCACAAGGATGATAAAACATCAAAAATCATCCAGGCGTCCCCTGGGCAACGTCCTTGCAGACGGCCAATTCTCTCACAACAGGAGCGGTTGCTCCTGACACGACAAAAAAAAAACAAAAAAAAAAACCTGGAGTGCTTGGTCTATATTTTTCAAGTGCAGCAGTTTCTCAGTTGACTGGAACTCAAGCAATCAGAATTTTTAAGCAATTGGTAAACAAAATAAAAATAATACCTTAAATAAAAATAAATAAAAACATTTTATAATATAGTAAAATCAGCATTTGTAATAAAGTTAAACTGTATTACATTAAGGTCAATTTGTCTTTGATTATAATTTTTGTATTTCAATGTTAACATTAAGTTATACCTATTTTTAATAGGAACTCTCAAGCAATCTGCTAATACCCATGGGTGCTGGTTTACTGAGAGTCTACTATATATGGGGCAGCTCATACAGACTACACTATTCAGAGAACTTAGACTAGCTCTAAAAGCAATCTTCAGACCAAATGCTTTTATATAAAATGGACATTATGATGACTTCAGTATAATATGTTGTGTGTGGAGGAAAGACCTAACAAATGCTCCCCCTCTTTTGCATTGCAGCCCATCATTCCTATGTTCACACAGAATGTTCGGGAAAGTATTCGATCCCTTGGTGGACTAAGTAAGAAGCCTTTTAAATACGTTTTTTTAATTAAAATTTCTGTTTATTTTTTACTTCCTTAAACTTCATCTAACAGTTGTCAGTGCATGTGGTGATGACAGCCTTTTAAAATGGTGGGATGTATATTGGACAGATTTTAGCTCAAGAAATCCACAGGACTTCCTTATAGAATTATTTCCAGAGACATGATTCCTATATATGTTTATATCATTCTGTGTTGCAAGCAATTCTAAAATTCTTACAATTATTGGCTGTAGAATTCTTGATCAGAATACTTCATACATGCAAATAGCTTGGGTTGCATATATTTCCAGACAGCTCTGGAGACAACCCACATTTTAGTGCTTATAACAGTAATTTAGAAGTTTTACATTCAAAATTAGTAATAAGCCATTGTATTCAAATTTGAATGAATTAAATAATCTTGGCAAGATAATAATCTTATACCTGTTGTAATGTGTCCTTTTTCATCAAACAGGCCTGTTTAGGTTGATGTATGAATATCTCCGTTTGCCAATAGTTCCGTTGTATGGAAACTTTCCTGTCAAATTGCGGACATACGTCGGCGATCCTATTCCATATAAAGCAAAAGTAACTGCTGATGAATTGGCAGACAAAGTAAGACTTTTTACTTTAATATCACTGAATATTAAATTCTAAATATTTATAGTATAGTGAATAACTTGCTAGGTGGGGAGGGGGAGCCTTTTTGCCTTCCCATAAATGTAAGTGGCTCACATCTGCAGTGGTATGATTGCAAGCTGTAGTAGCGGGGCTTGACTTTCTCTGAAGGAACTATTTTTTTAGAAAGGGGAAATGATACTTGCTAAAAAGTTGTCTCCTTAGATTTGAAATACAATTTAAATAATCATTTATTTATTTATTTGTGATATTTATATGCCGTCCTTCTCACCCCGAAGGAAACTCAGAGCAGCTTACAAGATACACACACACACACATGCAATACATTATACCATTAACATAGTACAATATCAGCGCTATACATCACTATATTGTACTATACAATAATATTGTAATATTATTAGTAATATTACATGTAATATAAAATATATAATTATTATATCATATTATTATTAGTGTTATACTGTATTACATTATAATATTATGTTATGTTCTCCAGAAGCTTATGTGAATACAGTTAGCTATATTTATAACATTTTTTTCATTATGGGGAGTCTGGAAGGCTTGGACCATCTGCAGGCTGTACTTTGCTCACTTATATAGTGCCAGCCTGTCAGAATGAGGATTCCTGATGTTAGTAATATTTATTTATTTATTTATTTAATACATTAAATTTGAGAAGTGATGTGTACTGAATGTAAGGTATTTTCAAGAGAAGTCCATGTAGAATTCAAGGGCAGGTTGGGGGTCAAAGTTTATGATTTTGACATGAGTTATGGATTAGTTGGCTGCCATTCCAGGAAAGAGAAAAATGCCAGTGCTCTTGGCCACTGCCACCAAGTTCATTCTCAGGAACAATAAAATGCCTTTTGATCATCAGAGAAGAGAAATGGGCCCCTTTTTGGTAACAGTTAATGTACAGTATTAATTCTTATATTAAAAGGATCCATCTATTTCTCTAAGTAAAGTGGCAAAAGTTTATCGCTTATTCCAACCAAGAAGAAAAAGACGCTCTGGCCCCTTCATGCCCTCTGAAGGGAAATGGCTGATTTTCTGCTTCTGTTTCCATCATATTCCTGCTTAGACAGTCAAAAAAGCCTGACATGGCACTGCCAGTGTATTAGATTTTTTTTAACAATTCTATTTATTTAGAATATTTTGGACTCTCTCTCTCTCTCTCTACTTCCTGAAAATCGTTCAAAGGTGTAATTTTAATTTTTTAATTTTCAAACTCAAATTACAAGGAACCAGAACTAAGATTTTGGAACATTATACTACGTTTATTCAATTTTTGATACTCACCTTTTTGGCTAAATTATATTGCCAAAATTGAGGTGTGCATCAGATTCAGTGGTGCGTTAGAATCATGCACATAAACCCACCTGCATGAAAAGGCTCGGAAGGACCCAGAATCCAGGAGGCCGGAAAGAAGTTTGGGGGGGGGGGGTGTATGCAAAGAAGCTTTTCTCAGTAGTGGCAGCAGCCTCAGGGTGCTGTGGTGCCAGGAGGACGAGGACAGCCCAGCTGGTGACCCAGTTATTCTTGCCGTTTAGCCGCAGTTATTACTACCTCCCAGGCAAACCTCTAGGTTTCTTCCCTGTCTGCCCCCCTAGGCTTAGTCACATGCGGTTCCCAACTGGCCTCATTTACAAGGCCTTCAAATGGCCTCATTGATGCTGCCTCCCTCCCTGGTGAACTATACCTATGCCTTTATTTGGGCACATTACATTTGAGGGAATATCCATTTTTTGTAACGTGCACCTTCAAAATTCAGGTATGCATTGCATTTGATGACTCAAGTAAATATGAGTATGTGAAAGGTGGCATGTTAATGGTCTAGGCGAGACACTGTCATTTGCTTATGTACATGCTGTATGATAGTATGACATTTGTGGATAAATCCCTGTGTTATGAAAGTACAGATGTTCAGATAGGTTTTTATATTCAATTTTACATCTGTTTTGCAGTGTCAAGATTTTTTAAAATATCTTGGGAGATATTCAGTGTGAAAAGGACTAACTGTTGGTTTTAATTTTAATCTTTGACCTATTTTATGACTGAAAGTTTTGTAATCTTGAACTATTTATTTATTTTCCCACCCCAACATTTTTCTTTATAGGCAAAGACTGCAGTACAGAGTTTAATAGACAAACATCAGAAAATCCCTGGAAATGTATTCAGGGCAGTAATGGAACGATTTCAAACACGGGAAAAAGAAGACTAGTATCTCTGGATATAACAATAGTTGTGATTTTTTAAAGATTATGTACATAATGTGATGTAACATTTGAGAAGATTAATATTGTGTTTGTCTTGTTTTGCAATTCTGCAATTTTCCAGAAAATTAGGGTACTTTTTCAAAAGATCATTGTTGCCTCTGGAATTTGGGTATCTTGGTCTTTCAACATAAATACAACAACTTTTAAAAAAAATAGAGAGAGAGAAAACAAAGATGCAAATATAATCAAGGAGGAAATCTCTCATTTTAAAGCAGACTTGCTCTGTTGGAAGTCTTCCAGGAAGGCAAAACTGACTAAAAGCAAGATATGTGACCCCCCAGGTATCATGTTTTATAGCAGAGGTGCCTTAAAATGTGGCCACATCTTTGCTACACAATGAAATTTTCCTACAGATTCCACAGAGGCAGCAAAGAAGGGTGGCACGCACAGTGGTTCAGCACACATTATTTGTTGGCCAAATAACCATAGGGAAGAAAGAACTGAATAGAAGGAACTGCTAAAAATTCCATTCCAATGTGAACAGTCTGGCAGGCCATTTTGAGTCTTATGTGTTATTGGCAAAGAGAGGGTGTTTTTATATATGCCTCTCAGTCTCTCTCGCACACAGACACAGGCACAAACAGATATCCAACAATCTAGTATAAAATAAACTGGTCACATATGTCTACCAAATATTCTAGAATAAATATCATAAGGCTCTTTAAAACATTTTTTAAAAGTTTGAGTAAGGTACTAGCTCTAGATTGAGGCTATAACATTTGCCAGTTGTGTATAATGTCACCTTCTTTGCCAGTGTTAGTTTCAAAATTAGTGTACCAAAAAGAATGGAAGGAAAGGAAAGGAAAAAAATCAGGAACCAGAAATCATTTTTTCTTACTTTTAAAACTGAGTTTTCTCAAAAACATTTTGTTGCAGGTGAAATGTTTTGAAATGAAAAGAAGTTTATTCAGTGATTTTTGTACTAAGAAACTGCTAACATTAAATCACAAGCCAAAAAAAAACTGTTTCCAAAATATCATATTGTGTTTCTCATTTATGACTTTGAAGGACATAGTAATGATCGCTATATTGATTTGTCTTTCAAAGTCCTAAATGAGCAGCCCAACTTTTTGCATATCTATGTGTTTGTATTTTATTATGGTCGCATGGCTTGGCCATGTAGTACAGTAACTATAAATCTAATGAAATACAATCGTGCATTCTTCTGTCGGAAAGGCAAATTATACAGTAAATCAAACAAATACAGACTGATTTCAGTCCCTAGGTCCACAGAAACCATCAGCCATTATTCCTAATTATTTCTTGATATTAATAATATAGTATTGATTTCCCTCATTTATTTTGCTATATCAAAAAGTAGCTCTTTATTGGGTCTTTTGCTTTCCTTTCTATTAAAATCAACAACAGCAATTCTGCTTGTTCATAAATGTTATGAAGCAGGTAGATGCAATAGCCTTCAGGTACTTCCCATGAGTAAGCTACGCAGATTTTTCAGTGGCATTCCATTTGTAAAATATCCTTACCTTCAAAGTAAAGGAGGCACCAATGTTCTTATCACTTGGAAAGCATATTTGAACCTTTGTCTTTCTGATACTTTTAGTCATTCCCAATCTTTTTACTTTTTTACTGATTATGTAAAGTCTCACTGCTGCTGTTCTTAATTTAAATTAGTTTTATTGATGCCCTCTGATATTTAAGCCTTAAAATATTTTAATTTATAGGTTTTCATTCTTTTATTGTCTTGATAGCTTGTAAACAGCCTTCAGTATTTTTTACAACAGTCTGTAAATCATATGTACTTACAGAGTATTAATCTGTATTAATCAAATCATATGTACTTACAGAGAAACTTGGATGTTTCTGTCACTGATAATTTCAAAACAGGAGTGAATTAAGGCCCATATGAGAAGCAAAAAAGAGGACTGTCTTCTCCCCTCTTCTCTCTGCTACCAGAGCAGAGTATCACAGAGCCCATCACATGATGCAGGGCGGGACTCTGGGGGCTCCATTGCAGCAGGGAAGAGGCGGTGAAGAGGAAGTGGGGACAGGCGAGGGAACAATGGGGATTGAAAGAACACAGACCCCAACAGAAGGGAATAGAGATGGGCAGTTCCCTCTGCTGTCCCCCGATTTACCCCTGCTCATCTTATAAGGTCCTAAGATGCTAAAAATACTAATCTATAGAATAATGCACTAAAACAAAAAATATTAATTTTGTCCCATATTAGGAAGATGACAATAGCTCTATGGCTGCCATCATGCACGCACTTAATAGAGAAAAGTATAGAGTATGCACTTTCTGAGTATTGCATGTATAAGATTTCCCTGTAAATGAGATACATTTTCGGGCAGTCATATACTAGTTCAGTAAAACTTTTTCTAACACATTTGTCTGGATAGAGAGGTTACCAGATACAGAAGTGATCTGTTGGGCAAGCCATGGTGCTCTTGATTTCAATGAAGGAACATGATAGCTATGAAGAAATGTAGTTGCAAAACAGCTCAATCCATTGCAAAAAAGAAAAGTCTTCCATTGAGAGTGGAGCGCTAGATTTTTACTTACAAAATCTATTGTTAGTTTAGGTCAGAAGTTTTTTAAACGCAATCCATTTGCACTTAGGTGGCATTGTTGAATTATGTTACCCCTCTATGAATTTGTTACTTTGAGAGGCAGGATATGATATAAATACATGAAATGAAAGCTAAATTAAATGGTAAATATAATGATGGAAGATGTAGTCCACATGTGTTGTTTTGAAAATTTATGTCAATTTTATACTGGTTTGAAAGTGCTATAGGCCTTCTGAAATATGAAAGATTGAGATCCGACTTATTGTGCTACAGCATCAATTTTTTCTTAAAGTATTGAAACAAGGGTATCAAAGCAATATGCAATATCATTGTTTTAAATATATTTAAAATGTCTGTTTCATAGTTTTTCCATTTTCAGTGTTCTGTATATTTGTATATCAGATTGTATATTTATAAAAATAACTGCTAAATAAAGTTGAAAACCAATGATAGCATATCCATTGTGAATTTTATTACTACCATCAAGAAATCTAGAATAACCAGACAGTAAAAGTCCCCCTCTTCCTTTGCTTTCTTGTCATAATCTTCTTCCTTTATTTGTGTGTGTGTATGTGTGTGTATAGGGCAGTGGTTCTCAACCTTCCTAATGCCACATCCCTAAATATAGTTTCTCACGTTGTGGTGACCCCCTGGTATAACATTATTTTTGTTGCTACCTCATAACTAATTTTGCTACTCTTATGAAGCATAATGTAAATATTTGATATGCAGGATGTATTTTCATTGTTACAAATTGAACATAATTAAAGCATAGTGATTACTCACAAAAAGAGTATGTTTGGGAGAGTATGGACAATAAATGATGGGATTTGCAGTACCTTCAACTGCTTCAGCTCTGACTTACACAGACCACTGAGACCCCCGCAAATCACAGATCTGGACCAAACTTGGCACACAGAACTCCCATGATCAACTGAAAATACTGGAGGTGTTTTGGAGGAATTGCCAGTGATTATGGGAGAAACAATGATGGATCTGGACCAAACTTAGCACGAATAGTCAGTATGCCCAAATGTGAAAACTGGCGGAGTTTGGGGAAAATAGTCCTTGCCATTTGGGAGTTGTAGTTGCTGAGGTTTATAGTTCACCTACAGAGAGAATTCTGAACTCCACCAACGATGGAGTTGAACCAGTCTTGGCACACAGAACTCCCATGACCAATGGAAAATACTGGAAGGGTTTGGTGGGCATTGACCTTGAGTTTTGGAATTGTAGTTCACCTATATCGAGAGAGCACTGTGAACCCAAACAAGGGATCTGGACCAAACTTGGCACACAGACCCAATGTGGTCAACTTTGAATACTGGCGGTGTTTAGGGAGGATTGACCCACAATTTTGGACATTGTAGTTCACCCACACACTTATGCATTTTCTAATGGGAGCATTAATTAAAAAACAAAAGCAAAGTGACTTTTTTCTAATAACTAGCATTACAAATTACCTAAGCTGCTTGTGCTGCTTGTGCTGCTGGTGCTCCTCCTCCTCTTGATGCTGCTGCTGGGCCACTCTCAGTCCCATGTCGCGCAGGCGCTTCCCCCTGTCTTGAAAGGATTTACGAGCCTCCTTCCACCCTCACTCCCCCCCCCCCCAAATGCATACTACGCTGCCATGCGCTGAGCATGCCTGATCTGCCCTCCCTGCTTGGAGTCTCAGAAACAACCCTCCCTTCAGAGAGTTGACATTGTCAGTGCAACTCTTTAAGACCAATGTTATATGTTGTGTATGGCACTCTAGTCAACTATTATGCTACTAACTTTTGCACTAGCTATAACTTCTGACATCTCTTCAAGGCCGGCATAAGTAGATTTCATTATAGTAGTCTATTTGGGAAGTTACCACTGTGTAAATTATTATTATATGCTACGTTATACCTATTATGGAAAGGTCATAGTTATCGCACAGGTCAGAATTGTGTAATTAATCCCAGCCATAGAGTCCACTTTGGCCTCCAGTGACCAAAATTGATCTAGGAGTGTTTCCAAGCTATACAACTTTTTCTTAAGCAAAAAAAAAAAAAAAAGAATGCTATCCAGGAGGTCAGGACGCTTGCACAGTTGCTGAACTTGTGAAACAGCAATCTACAGATTGTCCACTGTATCTATATATAACTTAAATTCATTTATTGTTACCAATTCCATTACAGTATCCAAACAGTCTCAGCCAACACTTGATGACAAAGAGAAGTTTTGAGTGTCATCAGCATACTGAGGGCAATCCACTTTAAACTATCTTGTGGCCTTCTCCAGTGGCTTCATATTGATGTTGAACAGGAAGAGGGGAGTAGCATAGAACTCTATGCCACTCCACAGCTTAATGACCATGGGTTTAAACAGGAATATCCTAATTTGCCTTGCAGAAATGACCAGAGCTTCTGTATGACAAGGCTGCACTGTCAAGGATATGTCCTGCCACATACATCAGTCCAATGATGCACTGACACAGTTCCGTAGCGGTCACAGTAGCCAATAAGGTTTTGAGCCAGTGCTGTCAGGATAGTCTTGGTGGGAATATTGATGTTCCCAAAAACAGCTATTGTGACATCTAGTGCCACCTACAAGGTTACCTTAGCCATCTCAGGCATGAGGACAACTCATCAGTATTGCATCTGGAAGTTTCCACATTCAAATTTGGAGAACCCATTATTGACATCCTTGACTCAATTACTAACAGTCCACATAAAATCATGGGTCTCTTTTCGAATTACAAACTCTTATGATAAAAGTACTAATCCAAAACTAGAGCTGGATTAATTTAATTAATTTTGGAGGAAAATTACTATGTGTAAATGCATTTAAAATTCAATAAAATAATTTTTAAATCCTAAACACAAAGATACAAATAAATTCACCCACAGTTTCTTGTAGTAGTAGCTGGGATTGCACATCTCCAATAATGTAGTTTCTGGTTCAGGTAGGTGGATAATCTTTTAATTGTCTTGGGATCATCTAATTGTTTTTAAACTAATGGCTAATGTAATTAGCAATGTTTCCAATCTTAGGATGTGCAGTGGGTTTTGCTATGACTGAATATGATAGTGCAGTAGCACGACATTTGATTGCTTCACCTGGTAGACCACTTAAAATATAAATGTACCTGAGACAAAATATTAATGTATGGAGTGACTCTGTTTAAGATTCTAGCCAGATCAAGAGACACTATTACACTTTCCTCTACCAATGTCTGTTGTTTTCCTCTCACAAATAGTAAATACTCAGGATAGTCTTCACTCAGTTAACTTGGAGATCCTGACTTTCTCTGCTTTTTCTAAATATTTTAATACATGTGTTTCAGGTTACTTAAGCCTTCTAGTGCTGGGTTGCCTCCATGGCAATTCATGCCTCAAGAATGGGGTTGGCATAAAAGTAGTGAACTATATTTAAATACTTACTTTTTGTGAACTCAGAAGGGGGAAACTTTTCTCATTTGTTTTTCCTCTTGCTAGACCAAAACCATGTTGGCTGTAACATCTAACTAGATATGTGAAGACTGTACTTATGTGTTTGTAACAGTCAGAAAGAGAATGCATTGAGGAGCAGAACACATCCTGCTTTGAAAAAAGACTCCACACCATCACTAAAATGACCACAGTGTACTTTATTTAATGATTTGGTACTTTGTGTTGCAATAAAATAAAATAAAAACCCTACAAAATCCAAATATATAAAATTTTCAAGTTTTCATTTGAATTTTTACAAGAAAAATCAAGTTATAACTGAAGAAATTTGTATGAAGCACTACTTTCAACTTCATTTCATCACAAATTGCAACTTACTTAACAGACCAAAATAACTATGGTACTGTAGTACACCAAATACTTCACACACTGTGTTCTTTACTATAGCACATGTAACCACTGCCAAGCAAGACAGTGATCTCTAGCCAATAAAGACACTCTTCACAATCTGGACTCTAAAGGAATGTTTGTATACATGGAATCTGAATATAGCTATTTACATGAAGGATTTCTTTTCATTAACTATTTTGAATTTTCATCTCAAAACAAAATACCAAATACCTTTGTACAATGTTTACAAGTTGTTGCACAAGAACTGTCATGAATGTTGTTCAACTCAAGTCCCTGTGCTTGTACTGAGGGAAATATATCTACATTTTTCCATAAACACAAAGGTGACATCTCGGAACTTGTTTCTCTGATAATGGTAACTTTTGAGTAAAAGCACAGTAATGACTAGTTAGCACAATCTTTGTATAATGCAACAGGATACAACAGGAGCCAAGAAATTATTGGTCCATTCTATTCAGTTTTCTAGTCTGTTCCTAACAGTAACTTCATCCTTCTCTTTTTATGAAAAAAATGTGTATACAATTATATTCCTAATACAGGATAAACTAAGTATTATGAATAGGAAAAGCACAACTCTTTTAAGGCAAATTAAGCATATACAAGCAGCTTCTGTGGTTTTTGTTCCTGGATATTTAAATTGCACATCATAGACCCAAGGTCCTGTTCCAACTATATATGGACCTTACTCAACATCTTACTCCATTAACCCAGATGGCTAATATTCTCACCACATCATTCACCCTCTAAAGTTATCTCCCATCTCAAGCAACGGGATTATGAGTTCTCTCATTGCCAGTCAAGCTGTACTCATAGTTCCCAATCCAGCTCCACAAATGAGATGCAACCTGGAACCACACACATAGCATGTTCTTTCACAGTGCAACATAGGAGATACATGCAGGCACCTGTCTCTGTGCAAACGTCACCCTAGGAATCGGAAGAAATGGAAAAGGTGTGCTCTGCAATGGTTAGCAATTCTATTGTTTAGAATCTTGTTTAGAATCGTCTACAAACTAACTAGCATGGCTTTTTGAAACAGGAAAGCATGGGAATGAGAAAGAAACCCTGAAAAAATACAAAGTGCATGTTTAAAATGTTTTGGGGAATAAATTAAAGACTGCTGAGGTAGTTTGATGTTTTTAAGAAATAGCTGTCAAAAAAGTTAAACACAGCAAAAATGTCAAAGGTTGCTTGGAATTTGCTGACTTAAAGGTGTAAATGATTGTGGATACTTGGAGACTAATTAAAAAGGGCACAATTTCACCAATGTGAAATAACTCTAATGCCTACCTAGTTTCCAAAACTGTTTTAAAATATCCACCTGGTCTCAACATAGTTTTTAACTGTTTTAAAATATCCACCTGGTCTCAACATTTCCTGGATCATATTTGGGGATCCTCTTGGTATGACCACAATGATATGATCTTTCCAACTATGTAATTGTATGGAAAAGGAAAGACTAATGTACATTTTCAGTTACTGATTTGTTTCACTATATAAATGTATGCTTCCCTGTGCGCTTTCACTTTTTTTATATGAGCAATTCATGCTTCCACTCATATAGTTTTCTGACAGGAGAGAAGAACTAGAATATAGCTATAGTATTCTGCCAGCAACCATGTTTGAGATAATGTCACTGCTCAGGAGAATTTTCCAGCAGTATGCTCACAAGACATTTTTTTAAACCAGTGAAGATGATTATTTACAAGCCTGACAGTGTTAAGATGTGCCATTCATTTTGGTAGGAAAATTATGTTGAAGTTCTTTGGCCAGTTTATCCTTAAAGTCACTAGTTTGAACAATGCAGATCTATTTTGGAATGCTGCATAATCCATAGATTTTTGGACAAGACTGTCTCAGAACTGCCTTGATTAAAAAACTTTTTTTTGCCTTCATGAAGTTCACTTCCTTTTAAAACTGATGTAACTTTGCTTAGGGGTATTTAGCTGAAGTCACACACACACCTCTCCCAATTTCACATACATTTTTATCCAGATTAACTCTTATTTCAACATAGGCAACTTTCACCACACCCAGGGATGGCAAATTAATTCAGGCAAGCCTTTTTTTCACCCTAATGCAGTGGTTCTCAACCTGTGGGTCCCTAGGTGTTTTAGCCTACAACTCCCAGAAATCCCAGCCAGTTTACCAGCTGTTAGGATCTCTGGGAGTTGAAGGCCAAAACATCTGGAGACCCACAGGTTGAGAACCACTGACCTAATGCCTTCCAGTTGGTTTGACCTACAACTTCCTTCATGGATAACTGTCGAGGATAATGGGATCTGAAGAGCAAAACATCCAACGGGAAATGGGGAAGAATGATTTAGAGGGGCATGGCAAATTGTACACCATCCGTAGTTCTATACTCTCTTATCTCACTCCTTGGGGAGTCAGCTTCATGGATTTTAGAGAAGGAAAATGAGAATAGCCCTATATTGATGGCCTTGTTAGGAACATGGGAGGAGGAACATACACATATAAGCAATATGACTATGTTACTGTTACATTGCATCAGTAGTGCAAAATTTAGGGGATATTGGCAGCTTCTATATCAGGGTGTTGTTAGATTTTCAAGGAGTATCCAAGGTCCATCACATTAGATGCCTCCATTGAAGTCTGTAAGTGGCACAGAGTATATTAATAAACCCACAGAGTGGATTATAATGCTATGGAAAAAAATTAAAAATAAATGACAGGTTGTGAAGTATATTCACAAAGTAGATGTCATTCATTTTAGTAGTATTGAAAAAAAGTTTGCAAGATGAAAAAAATCAGGTGTTGTACACATTATAAAAGTAGTTGTGCCCTCAGATAATGTCAATTCTTAATCTGCACCAGATCTAGTTTTTCAAAAAGATTCAGTGGCTCAAAACATTAAAATATTCTGTTCTCTGGGACAATCAGGAACAATACAGCCAGAAGACAACATTTTGAGGTATACCTTTCAAAAATATTCCACGACATATTTTGATTTTTCCACATTTAGTTGTGATATTTCCTGGAAAGGAATTAATTGGCATAGTTACCCCTTGATTTACATAAGATATTCAGAAAGTATCTGTGACTCAAAAGGAAATGAATACTACATGACACTACAGATCCAAAAAAAAAGGGGGGGGGGTGGAATTAATTTAAGGAAGTTTGCCATGCTAGCAAGAAGGGAACTTGGGATGGTAGTGCACACATTGTTAACCTCAAGGTTGAACTTCTTCAATGTGCTTTACCACTTTTGGAAACTCCAAAATATCAAGTGTTGATTTTGACCTTCAAAGCTCTACATCAATTGGGTCCAGGTTGCCTACCTTCTCCCATACACTCAGCACTATACACTAAAGTCCTCTGGGGGACAGCTACTCCAGCCTGCCAGAACCAATGGGCAACCATCACCCAGAGGACATTTTCATAGGCTACCCCGACTATGGAATGACCTACCAGAAGAGCCCTGACAGCTAAATCAGCTGTCAGAACCGAATACCCATGTCTTCAAGCAGACTTACTGAGTCAATTATAACTTGTGAATGTTATTGGCATTTGCCATTGATTTTTAATCTGCATTTCAACTATGTGTATTTGTATTTCAAAAACATTTTATTTAATTGTTGTAACTATGTTGTACCCTTCCTCAAACTGAGAGGTGAGTATTACATTATCATCATCATCATCATCATCATCATCATCACCATTATTTATTATTATTATTATTATTATTATTATTATTATTATTATTATTATTATTAAACCAACTCTGCCTTTCCCAAGTATCTTTGTAATTTTCATCCAATGACTCCTGAAAAGAAGACTGCCAGGCACTTCTTTGTGGCATTTTGCTGGGGGATACCTCTACTCTGTTTAGGAGGGCATGAGAACAATGAGCCTTTGGCATTTTTCTTTGGTGATTTCAATTTTGGAAATTGTTTACATTTTTGATAGATTGCCGGACGGACAGGATGAAGTGTACATTCTGATTTACACCAGTAGTATGGTCTTCTGACCAACAAATAGGCTTCATTTGCCTTGTCAAAATTTAGTGATTGTACATGTGAGGCATAACATGGGATGTCTTCTTCACACTTTCTATTAGCATGTGTCTGTAAGTCTGATCTTACATGTTTATGGCATGGGTGTGAAGATCATAATGTTAAGAACACATTGGTGAGTTCCCATTAGCACCTTTAGAAGTGAATGGCCATGTCAGAGAGCTGTATTTCAAAGGTTATAAGCCCCATGTGCAGGACATGGTCAACTGTTCTAGTTAACTTGTGCCATTCATCCAGCGATGTGAGACCCTTGGACTGCATGGTAAAATAATAGCAATTTCCAGGGATCTTCGCTAATATGGACACGGGAATTTTGGCATGTTGGAATAAGGTTTGTTCTCCCTCTGTTCATATTTTCATTTTGGAATTAATATATATAGCCCTGGTTTTGCCAGATTTATTTCACATCATCTCTTCCTTCTTCGTCTCCAGTAAGCAAGATACCTTTTCAGATGTAGGAATATTATTTCCAAGTTGAAATCCATGGAATCTAATTAACAGTCAAATTAACACTCTGTATAGGTGGGGAAGAAGATTGAATTTATCAGTGTTTGACAGTGACAAAGTTTTTATAGGGCTGCCTCCTCACTCTTTAATCTGGCTTTGCTGCATAGATTATGTCATTTGAAATCCATATAGCTGACTTCACTCACACATAAATAATGCAAACCTATATACTCTGAACTGAATGTAAGCCCTATTGCACAAATGGACGCTTACTTCAGTATATATAAACAAACAGTATAGTGAGCTATAACGTTTCATCACTTGACAGAATAAAATTTCTAAGAAAAACAAAGCATCTTATTTGGGACTTGCCTCATCGAAACCTGGCAGATTACAAAGTTTAAGAGCAGAAGTTAAAATGAACCTGTGGGGCAATAAATAAATGGAAATGTATTACACAGTCTTTAGAATTATGCTGCAAAGACTGTGGACCCATGGATAGAGGCAATCAAGGTAAAAGGATATAATCCTAGTGCACTATTTCTAGTATAAAAAAAAAGAGAAAAAGATCAATTTCCATGGCAGATGTGGGCGGGAGCTGCTCCTTGGATTGCATTCAATGGCTAAAAAACCTGCCTTCAGCTAATACTATGAATACATTCATAAACCACAGTTAAGACCCTAACAGACATGATAGAGATTATTGAATTTTAAAGTTGCTAGAAGTTTAATAACATTTTGGACCAGGATGAGAAGAACATTCAGACAAACATCTTCCTCAGTAGCACCCTGAAATGTATTGGAACCCTTCTGCTGGTTTTAATCCCAGTGCACTGGGATGGCATTTTGTAGTCTTGCAGAGACATGCAGAATGTACACAAAGCTATATCTGTAATGTAGAAATTACATGGCATTGTCACCTGAGCAGAGGTAGACAGTTTCAACCAAATCGTAAACACCACATGGAGTGTTGTTTAAAAAAGCAAGATATCCCCTCCCTCAAATCTGTTGATTGATTTATTGGCCTCAATTTGCTGATGGGATGGGAGAATTTGGTGATGGTAATGTACTGTAGGTTGTTCTAGAATTCTAGAGCAGATTTTCAGCGATCAGTATGGATAAGGAGAAATCATGTAATTGGTTCCTTGCCCATTAATTTAATGCAGGCTCAAATTCGCCATTACACCAAATCAGTGTGGCTTTGTTAGCGGGTGTGGCACAATAGATGCAATACATGCTGTCCGGTTACTCATGGGAAAAAATCGAAAAAAGAAGAAACCACGCTGCACTTTGCATTCCTTGATCTTGAAAAAGCATTTGATTGGGTTCCACATGACCTGATCTGGCAAGCACTACAGCCACATGGAATACCAGAAAACTATGTAACATGGATAAAGTTACTGTACAATAATAAAGCATGTATGGTGCGCTGCTGTGTAGGGATTTCACTACCCTTCAACATCACTGTTGGTGTGCATCAGGGATCAACACTCTCACCATTACTATTCATACTCTGCATGGACACTACTACAGCAGATTTGCGGACTATGCATCCCTGGACACTCCTAGATGCAAATGACATCGCACCCGGCCACCAAAAATGCGTAGCCCTCCAATAACAGCTGCAGACATGGAGAGTTAGGCTCTGTGAAAATGGACTTCAACTAAATATATCCAAAACAGAGTATCTGGAATGTGGCTTTCAAACTGGACAAACAATTCAAATTAATTGACAAGCACTAAAAAAAGCCACCCAATTAAAATACGTAGGGTCACTAGTCTGCATAAATGGTGATACTATGCCAGACATATGGTCACAAATAAATGCAGCCTGGTTGAAATTACGGCAAATTACTGGCGTTCTGTGTGACTAAAAATGCCTGAACAATTTAAGGCTAAGATCTACACTACAGTTGTTCACCCAGTAAAGTGTTGGCCACCAACGAAGAAACATGAACAAGTCCTTAACATAAAGGAAACAAAAATGCTGAGATGGACACTATTGCCACTTCTTGAGCATGTGCCAAATGATGACATCTGTCAAAGACTAGGAATAAAAGTGATCAGCGAGAAAATGCAGGAAGCAAGACTACGGCCATGTCATGAGAAGAAAACCAACATCAATAGCACAAACAGCACTTAATTTGGAGATTGCAGGACAACCATGTGAATGGCCAAAGAAAAGATGGATGGACACCATCAACAAAGACATACGTGCTGCATACCTGAGACCTGAGGATGCCCAAAACAAAGCCCTATGAAAACGACAGTCACAATGCTAACCCCTCCATTGGGAAAATAACTTAGAAAGAAGAAGTTTTTAAACATTTTCAAATATCCCTTCCAATCTGCCCTGAGTTCCCCAGTGGAGATAGGGCAGAATATAAAGTCTTATCATTATTATTTTATAATTCATCCCTAAGCCTCTTTTCTCAGCCTCCTCCCATTTGCACCTACCATACAAATGTCCACCTAGTAGCCATACAGAAATGCAAATGCCTTTCATTCATTAAATATGCCCCTTCTCACTTGATGCCAGATAAATGACTATTGGGTCACTCATATCTGCTAATATCTGCCTTCATATCTGTTTCTCCCACTCCTTTCAATTTGGAATTAAACAGGCTATTAACTGGGTGAAAGTATGGCAAAAATATCTTTTTCGGGACTGAATAGTAACCTGCTGAACTAGATTTGGAAAGAGAACAGCCACCTGCTGCAAGATTTTATATGCTGTACTAAACTGATGATATTTCAACATCACATATATTACATATGCTACCTATATATCATCTGCTTTGGCATTTCTACCTTGGAAATATACTCGTGGGCTAACTCATGAATGCTCTAACTAATTAGTATGGATTTACTCCTTCCACTGGTGTTTTATTTTCAAGACTTGGCAGTATACAATTTGTTAAATTCAAAAAATATATGACATCCAAATTCTTATGGATAAGAAAATCTCATCAAATTATTTGGTGTTACAAATTCTGTAACAGAAGAAAGATTGGATCTATCTATCAGCAGATCCAGTCTTTGTGTTACAATGCCTACTTGTTCAGATGTGGTTATCTCCATATTCCCATTGCATCACGTCATGGCTTGATAGGGTCTCAAATGACAGTCATGCAAAGCCTACACTTGTCTATGCAACATCTTTTTGAGTTTCCTAGGTCATACTCATCGTTAACAGACACATGATTGTAATCCTATCTCAATTAAATGGGTGAAACTTAAGTTAGTTCTGGCTAACTATTCCACCTGATTTCTATGAGACTAAATGTGACTTAATTTGGATGAAACCCTAACGTATAAAACTATGATTTCTCATCTCCTGTAATACATTGGCTTTCTGCTTTATCTAAAATTTAAACTTCACATCTGCTGGAATACTGCCATAATCTTCCTTCACGACCTGTCAGGTTTGGTTTCAGTAAGTTCTTTCAACATGCCATATCCTGGGGAATATCTTTGTTGGCACATCTGATCTTAGGGTCAGGCCAATAATCACCTCACATGTAAGTACTTAGTTAAAACTTTGTTCAAGGTGGACTGAGTTCAATGATGATTGAATTGCAAATTTCAAGACATTATTCACTCTGCTGAAGAAGACATAGATATTCTGAGTTCTTCTTTGGAGAACAAGCTGATTAAGTTTGCTATGTTTATGCACAATGTTCTTATTATAGTTACAACTAGTAGGTTATTACAACCAGTAATTTTTAGGATACACTTAAAGAGACGTGTCTGCTGGTGAAAAACACAATAAAACTACTTTTTAGGTTATTATTTCTGTGTATCCAACAGTCATTTGAAGGTTCTAGAGCTGCGCAGATGTATGTGGAGACTGTGGTTTGCTGCTTCCTGGAAAATGTATAGAACCAGAAGCCAGCAAATCACTATCACACCAAATATGTGTGAGATCTTATGGTATTTAAATAGTAGGTCTTTGTATCCCTTGTTTATCACACATTACTTGTTAAATCTCTCTGAAGCAGAAACAGGATTTCACTGTTTCATCCAGTATAAACTTTGTGTTGTTTTTGAAGCACTTTGCTGAAAATTTCACTGTTCTCACAATAGCCTAAAGGTACTCATGGAAGCTTTCATATGGCATTATATTGTAAAATAAATTAATACAACATCATATTTATGCACAAAGAATCAGCTGATGTAACTGTGGACCAATCTTTAAACTTTTAAGTTATTAAAGAGAATGAAATATATGAGAAAAGGTTATAAAAAGTAACACTTTTGTGTCCTGTGTTTTTGCTTTATAAAAATATCAACATACTCCATGAGTTATTCCAGTGTGCACCAAGTTTTGTTTCTTTAAAAAAAATACTATCAAATTTTGATTTGCACCTTTAATGCAACTGAAAGCACCATCAAGGGATACTTTTAATATAAGGAAATACATAATTATCTTTACCAAGGGAGGTATTTTATTTTGTAAGCAAAGCCACTCCTATATAGGTATCTCTAAACCACAGTTTAGCACTGCACAAATGAGTCACACGAAACATATTATTTTTGCACCACATCATCTCTGTGGCATTACTAAGAGGTGCCTAGTAATGCTTGTTTTTCTTTTACATTAACCTCAGCCAGCAATGTTAGCTGAATCCAGATTAGCTGTTGCTATTCTATGTATGGTTAGTTCTAAAAAGGCCTTCTTTTATTAACAAAGCTGGCTTATTTCACATAAGCAAAGAGAACTTGCTTAGTGAACATTTTAGATAACATGATAAGCTCCAGTTAATCTAAAATGTACTTTGAAACATCCAGTTTCACACCCATTATGGTGGAACGGGTAGTACAAAAACTAGCTGAAGTTCATTTGTGTAATGCTAAATCATGGTTCAGCATTGTGTCTGAATGCAGTGAAACAGATTTTGGCCAGATAAAGAATACCTTGTGCACAGCTTTGTTTCCTATATGATTATGTTGTATACTTACACACAGGTGATTGGTTTTCACTTTAGGCAGGGCCTGGAAATGAAGGACGTAGGTTTTTCTTCCCAGCTTCTTGTTTCTTGTGTTGTACATGTTCTGTCCGTCAAACAATAATATCAAATTTGCAGTTACACAATGTTTGGCACTAGAAAGGTGTGATATGCTGTGGTTGGTTATCACATCTATGTTCACTCTCTCTCTCATACACATACACACAAAACCAAGCATCCCAGAACCTGAAAAAATAAGCAAAGAGACATTTTATCTCTTGATGCTGTTTGAAACATGGTCTGTAAAAGGCTCAGAATGATGAATGTTACCTTGTTTTCATCTATTTCTTTTTTTTTTTGCAATTGAAAACTTAATCATGATTATCATTTAATGTACATTGATAAATGTTAGAGCTTCTTGCATTTGCTGAAAACTGGGGGTGGGGTCATCTGCATAGAATTTCCTTAAAAAAAAATCAAACCCCTGAAGTTGTACATATAATATTGATTTAGATTTAAAAAATAACTGAATAAATCAAGAAACTTAATAGCTACTTCGATTACAACACATATAATTAGCTCTTTTAGAATTTAATTTAGTTCTAGAGTAGAAAAAAACAATAATGTATTTTTTCAATTATAACTCTTTTGCAAATATTTTATGATTTACCTATTCAAGACTAGAAGATGATATAATTTCTTTCATAGAAACTAGAATTCACATAACAGTAATATTGCCTTTTACAAAATAAGTGATTTTGACAAGTTTTTCTAAATGATTTCTTCAGTTTGCAAATTATTCGCTCTATAAATGCAAACACCAATAATTAAGTTTCTCCAAAACAACATTAATAAAAGCACTAACTGGTAGCTGATATCATTCATTCAAATTCTCCTCCTTTAATTTAAAATGCTATGCAGTGCACTTTGAAGGAAATAGGAAGTTATTGAACCAGGTCTATTTTTCAGTCAAACTACTGATTCTTTGAGGCTCTTGGATACTGCTGCTTTCTAGGTGTATTGCAGACAGACTGTGGAAAAGTGGATCAAATGATAATCATGATGGTAGCCAGAGTAAGGATACTATTATAGTTTGCTGCTCTGTTGTAGAGTGAAGTTTAAGTTATTGCCACGGCCCTTATAGCACCCTTTTATTTGGATGTATCACAGCCGCTGCATTGAGTTTATTTTGTTTTAAAAAATTATTTATAGTGTTGTTTCATATTCCAACCGCTCCTGTATAAGGGCATCATCTTTATATTGTAGTCGTGGAGGAACAGGAGAACATTCAAAAGCTAAAATGGCCTTTCGTAGGCTCCTGTCCAATACATGTCTCTCCCATGCTGGGTACCTGTTCCTGAAAAGATCAATTTTAATGACAGATTCTTCAATCCTTGGAGGCCGGGATGAAGGAGTGGAAGGTGCAGTTGGCCTCACCTGAAAGACGGGTACACACCCATCTCTCTCTGCGAATTTCTGATCCCGGTCACTTGTAACACTCCGGTTATTAGAAATAGACCTTAAAGTACTTGATGCTACTTCTGGAGGAAGTGTGAAGGCAGCTACAGAGTCCTCACAAGCACAGCTTGGTGACTGCCCAAACCTTGGTCCATTGGGATGAAAGAAGGCATAGTACATCAGCATAAAAACAATGCCAGTTAAAAAGCTGCTGAATACCACACATAGTGCCGGAATGGCAAATGCATCAGAAATCATAGGAGCCTTGTATAGGTACCAAAGAGCACTCAGGGCAGTGTTTTCCAAAAGGATAACAAAATAGTAAATGAAAAGCCTACAGCGTGTCCTTCCCTCCTTGACATTGAACCAACTAAAGATATAAATTATCCCAACAACCATGTCAAAGACTATTTCTTCCCATTTAGTGATGCAAAACTCCGTCTCACAATGGACAATCCAGAAGGTCATGATACACCAATGTAGAACGATGAAGATCCCAAAGTAGAGTTGAAAAACAGAGGCAAAGAGAGCAAACGTAATCACCCTGGCTGCAATTGTGAAGAAATGCCAGCAAAACTGGATGATTACAGCCATATAACTGATTGGTTTCTTGTCATCACGGGAATCACGGAGAGCTTTCTGATATGAAGCCAAAGCCCATGCCAAAGACACAAGAGATGCTGCAGCAGTAAGACCTAGAAAGGAAGGAGAAAACAAATACAGTATATAATCAATAATTTAGAAATTGCTTTTGTGGGCTGCTTTTATCTAGGAGACACCTACGTGCATCTATGCAAAAATAAGTTCTATTTAGTTCCATTTGACTTCTTTTCAGGTCAGTGAGTACAGAACTGAAGCCTTAATGATTTAGGGGACAGTCCATACCTTTAGTCTTATTTTGTAAGAATTGACATTTTGATCCAGGCAATTATAGCAGGCTTAGATGCAGTTCTGTTTTGGTGGTCCCATAAAACTGTAAAAGTCACAATGCAGTCTTTCATTATGAAAGTACATCTCAATTGATATAAATGTAAATAAAAGTATCCGACCAAATGGTTAATTATCTGAAAGCATTCTCCAGCCCACCCAAAGCACACTTCTGGTTGGCTACCAAGTTACAATAGAGAGGAAAGTTCCATTCCCAAAGCATTGCCATCACCAGTCAGCACAATAATGTTTATTGTCATTTATTCAGCGTAGTAGCCTACATCTAAATTTTCATACAGATTCCATCCCTTTTTTTATTCCACACATTTCTTCTTCATTCATGGCAAGTCCTCCAATATTGAAACTATCTTTTTTTCTAAAAGAACAACCCCCTTCTAAACTAAGGACTTAAAATGAAATTATTTTCCTGAAACACCCTAAGATTCAGAGAAAAAATAAAGAGAGAAGTCAGTTGACACCATCAATGGAACAAGGAGAGGAACTTATCATAAAGTAAGCTAGGCATCTAGACCTGGATTAAGGAATGGTCTAGAACAATGGTGATGAACCTATTGAATGTGTGCCTGAAGGGGCATGCAGAGTCCTCTCTACTGGCACGCTCACCATACCACTTGCCTGCTCACCTGCACTTTTGCCTGCTCCCCTTGCTCGTGCGATCCCCTCCATGCTTAAACAACTTCATGAATTTAGAAAAAGTAAGTAACTTTTTAGATGAGGAACATGAGAAGGGGAGTAGAAAGGGGGTCGGAGGCATTGAATAGGAATGGGTTTTACAGAGCTATAGCAGGTCAAAACTAGCATCTCAATCTGTATCAGGGGATCTAGAATTCCTGACGGAGGTGCACACTAGCACTTTGGGATTGGTCATGTCTGACCTGGCCTTGTTTTCCTTTGGTTGAGCACAGTGAATAACAAGCATGCCAACTGTGCAAAATAATGTGTGGGAGCACTGCTAGTACAAACAGTGAGGTATTCATTATGGCAGTGTTATCCTATATGGGACAAATGGTGGATGAGACAAATTCCTACATATTTATCAGAAGCATGATGACACAGTGTTGGCTGGTAATAATTATACCCACCACACTGATAAGAACATTGTCTTATAAATGGATTTTAGTCATAATCATATGCTGTTTGGTATCAATTATGCTTGTATGAAACCAATGATTACATATGCCCACAACATGTGTAATATAAAGAAACTAGCAGCAATGTACAGATGAGTAAGAAAACTCAAAAGGGATGTAAAAATATCCACATTGTCAAGAATTTAGAAAGCATTATTTTGCATACATATTGTTTAATCATATTAGTCTTAGTATGCTCAATTAGATATGCTGACACATGATGATAGACAGAACAATTTTGTGCCCATTTGAGTGTGATATTTTTTAAAATAAAATTCACAGCAAAACATTTAAATAATAGAATAGAAACAGGATACTATTTTCAAAGATGGCATTTGAGGGCCACCGAATTTCCAGAGACATTTTCAACCAGCCTCCTTCTGAAATAATGGATATCATGAAATCTGATCATTTTTGGTAGTGGGCAGGGATATTCAAAAATGGTGCAAAAGATGTTTGGAATGTTGTATCTATGAAGAGAAGAATACTGTACCAACAAGATTTTTTTTCATTTTGGAACTTGGGCTTTGTCTATTCTGATGCACACAATTATCCCAGGGCTGTTCTGGAGCAGTAAATGTAGGATCAATCCTAGGATGGTTTTAATTGCCACCCCACCAGTTGCTATGGAGGCGGAAGCGAGTCATCTAGTGGCTCCAAGCCCAGATGGCTCCCTACCATTCTCATTGTTGTGGCAGTCAGTGGGAACAACCCTTCATCTGGAGTGATATACTCCAGTGCCCCAGAATGGTGTGGGAGGGGGAATTACCCTGTCTTTTCCCCTTCCCTTTTCTGGTCATTCCAGCCAGCATCACCACAGGCAATGAGTGACTGACACCAGCCATGTCACGCCTACTGCCCACTGTAACAATGAGAATGGAAGTGGGGGGTGGGATTGTTGACAGAGCCAAAGGAATATGGAATGGTCATGTAAACAGTTTATTTATTTATTTACTGTATTTGTATACCGCCTTTCTCAGCCAATCGGCGACTCAAGGTGGTTTCCAACAAATCAGTAAACATAAAATCATAATACAGAATAAAACATTAAAAACAGTAAAAAAAAAAACCAGAACAAGAGGAATAAAAATATAATTAGCATCTCAATATTATCAAGCATTGTCCAGTTCCATTGTCAAGTCATTCGATTTTCTATATATTGGCTACTCTGCATTTCTAAATGCTTGCTCGAAAAGCCATGTTTTAACTTGCCTCCGAAACGTTAAGAGGGAGGGAACCGGTCTAATCTCCTTAGGAAGGTTGTTCCATAGCCGAGGGACCACCACTGAGAAGGCCCTGTCTCTCGTCCCCGTCAGACGTGCTTGTGACAAAGGCAGGACCAAGAGCAGGGCCTCCCCGGATGATCTTAAAGTCCTTGATAAGGGGAGTTGTGTCATTTTTCATCAGTTGGAGCTGGCCCACCTGATTATATGAGTCCAAAGTCACAGTTTGCTCCAGATTCTCAAGGAGAATCTGGAGCCATCACAAATTTGGCTATTGTTGTTCAAGGTTACATTCACCTAGAATATCCTCCATGCCTCATTTAGTTGTCAAGGACTAATTCACCAACTCTTCAGGATAAGTGATCACTATAAATGTGCCCTTATTTTATGCAAAATTTGTACGTGGTTATTTTGCAGAGAAAACAGCATTTTCTACATGCAAAATCAGAATTCAATGTAGAAAAGGTCATTATTGTGCAAAAATGTTTTTGATGAATAAGAGTTGTAACTGAAATTTGTTCTGCATAAAATTTGTATATAGCTGATTTGTACAAGAAAAAGCATCTTCTGCAAAGAAAACTGCATTTGCTGCCTAGAAATGTGTTTGGCATAGAAACCCCCCACTGTAATTTGGGATTTGTTTTGAACGTAATTAACATATAAATGCCTGGAATAGAAAACATCAGGATTTCATGTGAAGGAAAAAATATTTCTGCATTTAAATATTATTTTCCATGTAAAAAATGGTGTATCCTATGCAGAAAATGATGTTTTCCGCACAAAATAAACATATGTGATTTTTTTTGGTGCCAAAGAACTCTTAAATTGCAAACCAGCTTCTAAAACTGTGGTTTTCAAACTGCTTGCAGTGGGAAAAAAGGATGGAATTGTTGGTTATGGCCATCAAGAAAAAGCTTAGTGAAGAATTACATTCCTATTCATTGGTTACATGTTACTTGCTTTTCCTTTAACCTAATATCTATTGTGCAAGTGAAATTCAAGTTGCATTACATATAATGGCATAGTAAAATTGTGTCTTTTATTTAAATGACAAAATCAAAATTTGCTTTTTGGATTTTAAAAAATATATATTTTCAAGCCATGGATGAGTGAATCTGTAGATGCAGAATCCATGAATATAGAGGATTGACTGTGTATACCCAGGGAATATAGTTATTCATCTATCAGTCAATAGGATTTGTATTGTAGTTACTTTATCTACTTGTCCATAAGCCTTGCTATATCTTCATGGTACTTCCAACAAAAAAGTGTCATTTTAACTAGGAGACTGTTTCTGTTGCATAAATACTTTTGTTTCAAGAATTTTACACTTTTTTTCCAAGCGCACCAACTAAAAGTGGGAGAGAGACTTAGCAGGACCATTAAGATGGACTGATCTTTTCAGTGTGAGATTTCATGGACATTAATGCACTTCTTCATATGCTTTGAAGTGCCTTTATAACAGCATCTGAAGAAGTGGCCAGACATCCACGAATGTGCATGGTAAAGAAGATTAAAAATACAGTACTGTCTTAAAAGTACAGTACTGCTAGTTTGTTTCCCTCTTTCCCTTTCCTTTTGATGCTAAAATAGTCAGATATAAGTATTTCTTCAAGAATAACACCAAATATGGTGGGTTTTGGAACACATTACATGTTATATATTTCTGGGAAGAGGCAAGCAAGAAATCAATGTTGTTATTTGTGTTAGTGCTCTGAGTTTGTCAAAGGGTAACCCTTGCTCCACATGCTCCTTCTACATACTGTATGAATGACACATAAAATATTCTGTAGGAGTGACAAAATGAACAGCATGTCAACATCCTCAGAGTTGGAAGGATCTTTATCTGTATTTCAAAAGAACAGCCATAAACCAGATTAAATACTTATGCATTTCAGATTGATAAGTAATGTTACAGCTATTTATACAAATTATATTTGCCTTTTGTTGAAGCACAATTTGTTGAAGCACTTCTGGTTGTATAGTTAAATTTTCTATAATCGTTGCTGCTACTACCCAGGTAGTTTCTTCTCCTGCATCAAATGAGTGTGCGTGTTTGCAGAACAATGTTCTGTCTAAAATTATTTTTAGAAATAAAAGCTGCACTTTTTTATATTGAAGAAATGTTTGAAGAAAGTTCTTGTCAATTGAGTAGTAACAATTTCCCCATTTCAGGGCACATCCAGGCAGTTACTTTAAGGCGGAAACTTCCACAATAAAAAGGGGGCTGTCTAGACAATGTCTTGGACAAACCCGAATTAATTCCACAAACTAGGAAAATTCCGGTTTGTGGTGAATTAATTTGATAGTGAGTTAATTTCATGCCTTCTTGAATGGTGTGGGATAAACCCACTACTTCTGATGTCTGGAATACAGAATACTGCAGTCCAGACA